TTTTTTTTCAGATTTATGAAAGATGGATGGAATGGGAGCCAGATGAGCAAGCATGGTTGACTTACATCAATTTCGAGTTGAGGTGAGTTTATCTTTCCCGAATTAAAATCCTTTTTTGTGTAAGGATATAAACACCACAGCTTATGCGTTCAGATATAAAGAGATTGACCGAGCGCGTTCAATCTATCAGAGATTCTTACATGTGCATGGTACAAATGTAAATAATTGGATAAAATATGCAAGATTTGAAGAGAAGCATGGTTATATAGGTAACGCTAGAGCGGTAAGTAGAATTCTGCTTTCACTTTAGAGTTTTGTTTACATCCCTTTTATCGAAGCGGGGTGGTGTTGCTATTAATCGCTTTACCTTTTTAAGGTTTATGAGCGCGGAATGGAATACTTTGGAGAAGATAACATCCAGGAAAAGCTGTTGGTGGCGTTTGCTTTATTCGAAGAGCGACAGAAAGAACACGAGCGAGCGCGAGTTATTTACAAGTAAGTTTTGAAGCTGTACTTGATTCCATGCCTTTTACTTTCTTTACATCGGAGTGCATTATGTTAGTTTCCTCACTAGCCTGTTTGTTCAGGTATGGGCTGGATCACCTACCATCAGATCGAACAGCAGACATCTTCAAGCACTATACTGTACATGAGAAAAAGTACGGAGAACGAGCTGGTATAGAGGATGTCATTGTTAGCAAGAGGCGGACACAGTACGAGAAGGTAAGCGATTCTGCCAAAGCACTAAGGACTTTTGAGGACACTAAGGACAGGCTTTTGAACGTATATGACTAGACAGTCCCATTTAGCAAGTTACTGAGAATGCTTTCAACTACGATGCATGGTTCGATTATCTGAGGTTGTTAGAGAACGAAGAATGTCCGAGAGAAGAAGTTGAGGATTTGTATGAAAGAGCTATAGCGAATATCCCACCCCATGACGTGAGCTATAGCTTTCGTTGAATCTTCATTGTCATTTTAGCGTTCCTCTACTTCTAGGAAAAACGATATTGGAGGCGGTATATCTATTTATGGATCAATTACGCACTTTATGAAGAGCTTACAGCTCATGACGTTGACAGGACCAGACAGGTATGGATACTCATTCTTATTGTTAATTTTTTACCGCTATATCTAGTATGTACTTCTTCATATCCAAATCATTACTGGAAAGTTTAGGTTTATAAAGCATGTCTGGACATCATTCCACATAAGAAATTCACTTTTGCAAAGATTTGGATTATGTTCGCACATTTTGAAATTCGACAGATGGATCTCGCTGCAGCTAGAAAGATTTTGGTACGTTTGTCGCTATTGAAACTGTAGAACATTAGTGCTTGGTTACGTTGTTTGAGAGCTATGATCACGTGCACAAATTCTAGGGAGTCTCGATTGGAAAATGTCCAAAAGAGAAATTGTTTCGTTCATATATCGATCTGGAGTTGCAGTTGCGAGAGTTCGATAGGTGTCGGAAGCTATACGAAAAGTTCCTTGAATACTCATCCGAAAACAGCAACACTTGGATCAAGGTGAGTATGTGTAGGAGGTCTCAAAGTCGTGTGCCATTTCATAAGCGCTATTCCTACATAACGCACTGAGCACCAATCCTTCATTCAGTTCGCTGAGCTTGAGACGCTTCTTGGAGATGTTGACCGTGCGAGAGCTATATTCGACATCGCTGTGCAGCAGCCTGCTCTGGACATGCCCGAGGTGGGTTCTTATGACTTTTAGGCCCCCAATAGTTTCAAGTTTTGAAATAATGTTTGTTCCGGGGAGTTACATCCCAAACGATGTTGACTGCATATGGAACAGACCGAT